ACTTTTTCTAGGACACGGTGTATATTCTTTGTATCATGATGACGGTAGTCAGGGTTCTTTGTCCATTGGCTCGGGTTTGTTTCAGCAGCCGGTAGAGATCATCACGCCGTAACGCCTTTCTTACCAACGTAAGATTCACTCCAGTGGGGGAGTAGGTAACAGCTTGATAGGATGTATGGTTAGATTGCAACAATGATAGGCTGTGACAGGAGCCGAACAGTTAAAGTCATATCCCATAACTTTGGTAAAAATACAAATGCAGATATGTGAGTGATTATTTGTCTCCATAGTGGTGGTGTCTGTAAATACAGAATCACAAAGGGTTCTCCTACAAACACATCCATTTCCAATACACTAGTAGAGTTTCAGGGGTTTCTTTGGGGTGAACTTCAAAAAAAGTCAAACATTTTGTTCAGTATCACGACCGAGCTTTGCCTCAAGTCTCAGCTCTGATAGTATTGTTTTCAGAGATAAACCCTGTTGCTTCTGTACAACACATGCATCAACATCAAAAGTCTGTCATCTGTTCTCATTTTGTTGGGCCCACCCTCTATGTTCTACTGGACAGAATATGGTTCCATGGCGATTTAATCTTTCTGTCTCTTTAAATGCAGTCGAGCTGAATAATAAAGGTCTCTCTGATCCATCACGGCCAATTTGGGGTAGATTACAGGAAGTGCCCTGTCCAGCGAAACCCCATTCTGCTATAACAGGGTCATTGGGGTGTACTGGTCCCAGCGACTGGTGCGCTTTTAATTCCATATTAAGGTTTTGATTGTTTCTTCATGCTCTGGGTCGCATCTGCAGAGTTTTCCTTTTCATAGAAGCGAGTACAGTGGGCAAGCAATGACAGAAAATCCCGGTATGTTTTCTCCACTATCCTAGGGTACCCATAAGCTGTTGTAAATCTTTCTGAGACCGGGACATCCTCAACCATTCTGCTTTCAAGCTGTCTGGCGGAATGGCTGCACTACCCGCAATCCACCAAGTACCTAAAAATTATACTTCTCTGCTTGGTCCCTGACATTTTTCAGATGGAACTTCCAACTTCTGCTTGGTGTAGTGTTTGCCACACTGCTGTTGCTGCTTCCCCCACCTTTTCAGGGGAGGTCCCTCCGATAGGAATATCATCTGTACATCGGTACAATTTCACATTTTGAGGGAGAGAAACTGTAAAGTTCAGCAAGCGCAGCATGAGTAACCGTGGGCGAATGCTTATATCCCTGCGGGCGTCTGCTGAAGGTGCACTGTACACCTTCCCCAGTCACAGAAAACTTCTCTGTTTCTTGTAAGGGGACCATAAGGAACTCATCTTCTCTGTCTAGCGCTGCCACCCCTGAAGCGTGGCTGATGGGAGTTGCAGTGCTGGGTACTGCAGGTGTTAGGAGGGATGTGTTAGCATTTAAACACCAGCAATTGAGTTAGATGCCATCTACCATCTGGTTTTCCCACTGGCCAAACCGGTGAAGTATATGCGGATGGGGGTCTGGAGATTGTCTGTCGTTTTTCCAAATCTGCTATTACCTCAGAAATTCCATTTCGTGCTGCAGCAGAAACGGGATACTGCGGGACGTAAGTAATCTCTGAACTGGAGAGTGGAGCCGCACAGAGTACGCGCACCGTAGCCCCCAGACCTGTATCCGGCTCGCTGTCAGTTTTTGTACCAAAGGACCACGCATCTGCCACCCGGGTACAGCCATTCAATACGTCAAAACCAAAAGTATTTTCGTTGTGATCTTCACTCACTTCGCTGTTAGACGACCTAAGTTGCTCACTCAGAAGCCATAAAGTAACCTTGGCCGTTTGGCAAACAGCACTTGCTCCGTTTACTCCAGTGATGTTAACTCTCTGCCATCCAGGCCATATATCCAACTTGTGAGCATCCTCTTGTGTTAACACTGAAATTTGTGCTCCCGTAATTATCTGGAATATTATTAGTTGTTACAGAGGACAAACGGGGATGAAAATACATGGGCCATTATTTTTTATCCGTTAATAGGATTTGACTTGTCAGATGGACAGACAGTAGTCATCCAGGCACTATTTGTTTTTCGTTCTCGAATTTACAGGAGTGATAATCAGTTTCTCTGGCTGTGTCTCTGAAATGCATGCATTAGACCCCAGAGAATGCTGGCAGGTTGGCTTTGAATTGCAGCTCTTGGAATTCCTGAAGTTAATGCTTGAACCATATAGCTCTCGCTACCTCTGAGTTCTGGACTGAGGATCAATGGGCTCCCGCTCCTGGGAGCTGTTTCAGGGTGACTGTTTAAGCTGTCTAACATCGTGACCTGTAACTAATTTCACTAGTGTGCTGGGTTTAGTCAGGAAAGAGTTAACTCTCTTTACAGTGGCTGCTATGAAGCTGTTCCTGGCTTTACCCTGAGAATAGTCTGCTAAGGTCTCAGGTGGCACTGGGGAATGCCTGCACGAGATTCAAGGTCCTTCTCCGCTGCTGAGACTGCCCCTGCGTTCCCAGCTCTCTCACTGCAAGCGGTGTGGGGGATACAGTTCAGCCGACCCGAACCGACTGAAGGGCTACTGCATTCCACAGCACGCCATGCTCAGCATAGAGAGGGGGAGTGGGCTCAGGGAGCCATTACACTTTCACTTTCTTCACACTAATGTTCTAACTCTTTTGTCAAGCTGCTTTGCCAACTCCTGTGCTGGCTCCTTCGTGAGAGAGCTGTTTGGTTTGTTTAGTTTTCCTGGTCATGCTGTCACTGACAGGGTTCGCTCGGAATCTGCTGCGACAGCCGGGCTGCGGCCCTGGAGCTCTCACTCTCACTTCTTGGGACCTGGTTGTGCATCGGTCAGCAGGTGGTGAGTAACTGAATAAGGTTTTATTTTCTATTATTTCAAGTAGTTATTTTTAGTAGTATTTGTACGTATTCATTTAGATTTAATTAGTAAATAGTTCGTATCTCAATTTTATGAGCTTCCTTGTCTTTTTCCTCCAATTCTCCCCCTCTGCTAGAGGATGGTGGGTGTGTGTGTGGGGAGCTGTGAGAGCAGCTGTGTGGTATTTTTGCTGGCTGGAGTTAAATCACAACAACTAGAGAGATGACCTCATCCCATTTCTCACCAATGATTTGCGATGTCATGCATTAGTACTACACAGAAGTCTCTACCTGTGTAGTAGGTCGTCTTCCTGATCATCAGCAGCATGTCTTATGTCTGATAATAGGGCACTGAAGTCTACATCTCTCCTAATTTAATCTTGTTTTGTACTGAGGTAAGGCTGGACCACATCAGGGGCTCCTGTTATTAACAGCTTTAGCATTTAAGATTTCCAGCTGCTGACGTGGGAACACTCTTTAGGCTGTGTTCACGCAAAGCCGAAACACAGGCAGCTTTTGTAAGAGCTCATCTGAAGATCTCATGGGTACTAATACAGGCTCTCCTCTCACTAACACTGCTACCCACCAGCCCAGTACACTACTTGTTATGGAGTGGGGAGCATCTGGGGGGTCAGGACCAGAACTCAGATACCAGGACCCCAAAATGCATTAGTTCATTGCTGTTTAGCATGATTCCATTCCATGCAGTTAAACAAACTCACCATAAATATTCTGTCTCAGTTTGGCCTGGCTTAAGACCATAACATTCTTGTAAATTTGCTGTCTGATTGGGATGAAATGGAATCAGTATTCAGATACAATCTCCTGCTCCACCCAAGGTCCAGTGCTTTCTTGTTTTTGTAACATGTCTGCCTACGCAGTTAGGGAGAATGGAAGAGATAAATAATAATTTTCCCCTAGTTTGTCATCATCAGTGTCACCCCGTATGTTTGTCCCACTCTTCAGGGAATACAATTAATTTCCCAAATTGCACATTGTCAGGGGGATGTGGAACCCACGCAAGCATCATTTCAACCTTTTCTTCCTGCAACTGTTTCTGGAGCTGCTCAGTTTTCAAAGACTTCAGCCGCTTTTCTGCCTTCTACTTCCTTTTTCCTTAGGTCCTTTGTATGGCTGGTGGCTGCCTCTAGCCATTTTTCCACAGCTTCCCATTCATCCCCATTATCACAAGCCCATTCTTCGGAGAATCTAGGACTTCGACCTTAATCCATGCTTCTGTAATAATACTACTTGCCATCCTGCCATCTAAACCAATTTGTCATGAAGGAGAGTGGTTTAGGGCACTAAAAAATGAGCATCACAGATACTAGAAAGGTAATTTTAATATGAATTTGAACCTCGCAACTCAACATGTGCGACTCCCTTACCACACTCCTTCCCTAATCCACACATAAACCACACCAACCCCATTCTGACTTGATTTCCCTGTCCCATGAAAACATCTTCCCTGATCCATGCGTGAAACATGCTAACCCAGTGCTAATTTGATTGCACTTTCGTATGCTTTTTCCACGTTGAAGAAAAGTGGACATTGCCATCGAAGTCTTAAGTTGCACTTTTCTCAAATTTATATGAAAATCACTTTTCTTTCTAGTATCTGTGATGCTCATTTTTTAGTGCCCTAAACCACTCTCCTCCGCGACATCTCCCACCCCTCAAATGCAGGTATTCCACTACAAGTCTTACTGTTTCTGGAATTAGACAGTAACTTTAACAATGCACAGGATAAAAAGAAAATAAAACTTGACTCTTCCTCCTGCAGATTAATACAGAGTGCCATTTACCAGAACTACACAGCGTGGTTCCTGAAGTGACTGAGGAATACTTGCTGGAAGCTAATTAATATATTCCTCTCTTAATATTCAATACTGAATGGTTTTGCAGAAACATACTGCAGTTAAGGAAAATGAATTATCTTTCACGAGAAGTGCTCCTACAAAGAATTCAGAGTCTACACTCAGTATCATACTCGCAGTACTTAATTTCATTAATAGAGACACAAAAGGCTGAAAAAGCTTATCTATAAAATAATTTAAATAATTTCTGCATTCAAGAAACTAAACACATTTGCTTCTTGGACTCAAGAATGCTCATAAAGAAGATGTTTTAATCTACGTTTCAAAAAAGCTGTATAAAAAGCTATTTTTCCTTGATAGGGTTTTACACAAACTCAGAAAATCTTAACCTCCCACCATCATTAGCAAAAATGCATTTAGTAGGCAAAGAAAACACGAACTTCCTATTTTCGTAAGTATTTGTTACTTCATAGGCTCTGAGCTTAACGCTACTGAATTTAGACTTTGGCATCATTCACAAATACCTCTCAGTCTTTTTAAAGAACTTTATTTTAAAAATAATTTTAATTCATTAGACCATAATTTATAAGTTACCAATAGGACGGACCTGAACTCAAGCATCAGACATTTGTTGCACTTTCAAGTTCTGTAACATGACGTTTCAAAATAAAATTGTACATTTTGATTCACAGTTTAATTTGTTGAAATTTAATAACATTTAAAAACACTGAAATCTGAATTGAAAGGGATACATGTTAAGCACACAAATACTGAAAAAGGTCCTAAGCCCAAAATCCACTTGAAAATGGAATGCAGCTAATTAGTCAGACTAGTTTAGTAATTTCACATTTAACCTAGGTTAGCACCGCAGTGACCTCCACCACTGAATGAGAAATATAGTGCATGTAGTGTGATAACTCAACAGGTACCGTACCATTTCATAATGAGATTGCGTTTTCTTGAGCATTATGTGCCATATTTGTGAAAACTTAATATTTTAGAAGTCTTCTAAAACGTGTAAATAAACAAAGGCTACAGTTAAAGTCTAAACAAAGAAATACTTTTCTCTCTACTTTTTGTAAGCTGAGATTTTTAAAAGCAATCATTTATAAGGATTGCATCAACATCAGTTAGCAGAGGAAGATCAAACTTTATTGAAACTGCTTGCATACAAAATATATTGCACTATAACCAAACAAATGTCAACATAAAATCCAATCTGTTGTAGCTAATATGTACAGAGAATATTGCCCAAGAGCAGTTACATTACAAGGTCAGTCTACCTTGGTTAATTATCTACAGTATTTTAAACCAAACAGCTTACAGATGATGTGTGCAAGGTACCAATTTCTGTTTTCAAATACTATACATTCCCAAAATAAATAACTAGAAATCAACATTAATGTTTGGCAATACTTTTTAAGACATTTTTATATTTGTTAAATCATGTGCAGTTCGTTGCCATTTTTAGTATGCTCACCTGTATGCAAGGAAAAAAAAAGAAGAATGAAAAAAAGCAAAGAAACTCACAAAATACATCAGAGGCAAGATCAAGTTTGTACAATTCTGTACATACAGAGTGGCTCTCCTTCTGGAGTAATCTGAATAAAAATGGAATAAAATGAAGGTCCTTATACAGTTTTGTCCAGTAACTTTTACATGTGACCAGAAATAAAAAAAAAGCATAGCTCCTACTATCACTTCCAACCCTTCCGTGGTGTACGGCTGTACTTCTGTGACACTTTTAATTGGCTCATAATTCAGACCTTGTACCTCAAAACATGATGAATTTGTTCTACCTCCAATAATCTCCGACGACTAGATCTGTACTTTCCAGGGCATTACACGTGGTGATTTTCTACCTAGCTCTCCTGAGATAGCCCCCAAATTAAAGCAAGCAATTAAAAAAATTTTGGGAAGATGAAAAACATCAGCGCTTTAAACTGGTCATCTGGCCAAACAGCAGGCACACATTACTAGCTTGTGAACACATTACACTTGTTCCCCCAGTAACAATGAGTTTTTTAGTTTTCCACAATGGAAAGATCTTTTTTATTTTTTATTTTTTTTTAAAAAAAAAGCTTCTGTACTGCCTACAAAGAAAAAAAAAATTACACCCCTTTTTCAATAACACTATTTGCCAAATCCTCAGTGCAAAATAAATTTCCTATTCTTATAACTGCCTAACTCAATGTTTATGTAAGGAAAAAATTATGGAAAGCATGCACTTGTCTATAAAGTACTAACGTCTGACAAGGATTGCTACATATATTTTACATTTAGTGTTACCAACTCGTCTTCCCTGATTTCTGCATCCAAATATAATATTCCTACCTGCCAAGATATAAAAAAGGCACAGATCATACAACTTTTTTGCTAATGTAAATGACAATTGTTACATCACACATATTTCAGGGTCCACTAAAATATTGAAAAAGGTGGACCAGAATGTGAACTGACACAGGACATAAAACGACATAACATTTTATGAAGAACTTGTAAGTTAGATTGAAAACAGAAGCCAATTTGATTACTGCAAACACTATTTATTCTGAAAATTGAAATTGAGCAGTGAATTTGACCCGATGTGTTAAAATGGTACAACTGAACAGAAAATTTACCAATGCACAGCTCAGTATTTTTAAAACAAACAAAAAAAGAATCTTTCATTGTTTGAACTGCAATAAGTACTTGAAAGCGATTTTCGGAAATTCAGATATTTTTATGCAAATATTTGAATAACTTCTTATTCTGAAAACAACTGCATACTGTTGATGTTAAAAAAGGCTAACAGAGAACATATGTTCATTTCATGCCCTGCGCCATCTTGCCTACTATTTGTCTTTGGCCTAACAAGTTTCTCTAACATGGAATAGGAATTACTGAAACCGTATAGGAAATATGACTTTAGAATTATGCAGTTTAGGGTACTCCATTCACAAGCGGCTGTTGACCATCTGCGCTGTCCGTTTTCTCTTTCTTCTGATTACGTTCTTTACCCGTGCGCAGCCGGCTACCTTCATTGGAGGTATTCTGTAATGTTTTAGTGTGGACACTCCTTTCATTATTGCAGTCAATTCTGATCTGGAACAAGTCAGAGTTATATAAAGCATTCTCTCCCTTTCATCTACCCTTTGTGCACCTGCTACCTTAGCAGCCTGGGATGACCACTAGGTACTGAACGGTCGGAAGACACACAGTACCACAGCCATATGACTTTGTTGAACCTGAAATGGAGAGTTTGTGAGTTCTGTTCAAAAACGTCACATACTTGTGACCTAAAAAAACCCAACAAAACCTAAAACCCTCCTGCCTACCTAGCCTTAGAAGCAGGAAAAATTTTTTTCCAGTCTGTTTGTGCAAGACAACTTGGAGAATTAATAGCAGATGGAACTCAAAAATCATTTCGCTTTCGCTAGGTCAACTTCCTACTTGCACACAAACATTTTAACAAAAACGAACAAAAAGCTGCCATGAAATGATACTAACACTTAAGAAAAAACAGAAACTACTCAGCCATCTGAGAATCTGAAAAACTCAACTCAGAATATAAAAAAAAGTTTCATTTAATACACCAAATATGTTTCTTTGGCCTTTTTAAGTGGTCATAAAAGATTTCAAAAAAGCATTTTGAAAGCAAAATTTTTATGCCTGTCAAGGGTGTAAGCCCTTATTCCTTGAAATATCACAAAAACCTTTACAACTTGATCAGTCATGTTTCAGCGATATGCGATTACTTATTTTCTGAGATTGAATCCCAATCTCAGAGCAACTGAAAAAAAATCATGACTTGTTGGCAAGTGATTTACTTTCTTTTTCAGCACAATTCTTCATTACTTCACACACTTTATAATTTAATTACTCATTAACTGTAAAGTTGTGTGGCCATAAAAAATTTTTTTTTGCATGTTCACTGCTTTTCAGCTGCATATTCAGGTACTACCCCTTCAAGTTCAGCCCTCCCATTTGGAAAATTAAGCATTTGGTCACTTATTCCATTCTTTCCCCCTCCTTTCTTAAACTGTCTTTCTGAAACCAAACCAAGTGTCATCTCAATCTCCCATCTGAACCATTACTCCTGGTAATACCAGGCAGAGGTGGCAGCCTGCAGCTGCTCATTACTTCTTCCTCCCAACATAACCCACCCGACGCAGTAAGAGATAGTAGCAGGTTTGCATGTTAGCATTTGAAGCAAGAACAGTTTCTATGAGGGGAAACTTAACATACATATATAAAATATCAGCCTGAATAACTTTATGCAACAAAACATAATTGAAAAAATTGCAGAAATATCTTTATAAAGGGCTACAAAATATTTAAGGTTATAAAATATTTCAATATATTACTTGTTTCAAGAACAGATTCTTCACGTGCATGTTTAACTTACTTTCTAGTTTGCATAGCCTTCAATTGCAAATGTTTCATTTAGTAGTGAAGGTAGTTTCTGAAGTTTAATCTTTCTTACTCTGAAGATTCTGGCTACAACACACTTTCTCTTTATATAAAGCGTTAAGGATTCTCCTCTCTCAGACAAAAATACACAACGCAGCAAGAAAGAAAAGCTAAAAACAAAAAGCTAGTAAGAACAACGACTGAAATTAAGCTGGTTCGTAAATCCTTGGGACTGGTGATCAGAGTTCTAAGCAAAGGGAGAGCTAATGAAGTTGCACCTTAACACAACTTGATATATTGAGATTCCTGTGTATATGCTATAAAATGACACAAAACACTCTTGTAGATCTGATTACGGAATTAGGGAATAAGCAGCCAAAAGGCTCTGAAGACTATAGTGTCAGTACGTGACACGTACACCATTTTAAACAGTGCAGACCTCCAATAAGAGAAAAATTACCTCAAGAGATCCATCCGCTGTTCTCCCTTTTGCTTCTCTCGAGTTACGCTGACGGTTCTCTGTTCGTGACTGTTCATCATTTCCTGTAAGAAGAATTAATCAACTAAGTTGTTCGACAAGGACATTCGATCTTCTCTTACTTAAAATTTATGCAAGCATAACAGTGAATTACTTCAAAACAACAGAACAACAATTCTTTAACTGTGGGCCAAAAATCACTGAAGAAAATATTCTTGGGTGTTAATCAAAGTAGTCAAAACCACAGTGTTTACAACCACCGCAGTTCAAAAGAGACCATTCACTGACTGAAGAAAAAAACACCTCAAAATCATCAACCACAGGAGAGAAGTACACAGTAATTTTTGTAAGCTTTAACATGTTCATGTTTTCAATGGCTTACGGGCTTCCAAAATTTCACGTTAACTTCTCTAAAAAAAAGTCTTATTAAACAATACCCATACTTTGTAAAAAGCATTTCAAGAAATAAGCAGAGTTGTAGACAAAAATATTTAAACAAATAAATGTAATGAAATAGTACGTTATGAAATATATGTATTTAAGTTCTCCCATCTTACTTTTGCGTGGTCCTTTCCACTGAACATATATATATTACCACCATATATAATTCTGCTGCATGAAAATCAGATACAAGATGGGAATACAGATAGTTGAGTGAGATTATAAAGGTATTTCCAAATCCATTAACAAACTATAACTTGATTCCTTGACATCCACATGTGATGGTGCAGCTCACAACTTGATTCAAGATGCATATTAGGAAAGCAAATGATGGAGAATTCCTTATATAAATAAATTGGGATAGCAGAGAGGATTTATGTAATGTATGAAGAGACACTGGGATGGAATGCCTCCTCAGCAATTCTGCAGACAACACCAAACAGTAGGAAGTGGTGTGATATGCTGAAGACTGCTCAGCACAAGGACAAGAAGCTGAAGGAATGGGCCAACAAAAACCTCATTAGCTTTAAAGATGAATCCCAAGTCCCACAGCTTCCACAGCATAACGCCAAGCAATAGCACATGCTGTGGAACTATTGTGAATGCAGCAGCTCCACACAAAAGCAGCTGTCCTGGTGGACAACAACTGAATCAGGCATGAGTGAGCTCTGGTAACAGTGACAGCTGACTGAATAATGGGCTGTGTTAGTAGGAGTGTGGCCAGCAAGGCAAAAGAGGGATTATTCCCCTCTGCTCAACATTCAACACATATGAAACAAAATATTAAGGGGTGGACAAACTGGAGAGGATTCAGGATGGCTAGGCAGCTAAAGCAGGTGACAAAACAAGAGTCTGCCAGAACTGAGTTTGCTCAAGGCTTCCAGCACTGACCTCCTTTTCAAAATCAGGCCTACATTTACCTTTGAATCCTCCGCGACCTCTCCCTCCTTGCCCTCTTGCACCACCTCCACGTCTTCGCCCATCTCCTCTGCGAAGGTAGTTGTCTCGCTCCTCTTCTGCTGGGGCTGCTGACCAATCGCTAAGTTCATCTCTGTGATCAGATTCTGTTTCAGAAGCATTTGATGCTTCAGAATTAGTTCCTATCAAGAGGATAAAAAAAATCCAAACATGCCAGTGTAGCTTAGCACAAAAATACTATAGTAGTATGTATTCAAAAATAATTTTTTACCCGTTCTGTGGTTTTTTGCCTCCCAACCTCTATAACATACATAATGCAGAAATGTGCATAATATACATGACTTCTTCAAAAAGTCAATACAGACATAAATGAAAGTTAGAAGTGTGTTTAGGGTTAAATAATTGTGCCACGCATTTATAGTTACCTGGTGTTATCAGCCTATCAATACATTATTGAGTCTACTATGCAAATGTAGTAAGTCTAGGAAAACTTAAGTAGTCTAACAGACTAGACTTTGTCGTATTTCTGAAGCTGAAAGTTTGGAATATAACCTGTCCTGTCCCCTCACCACCGCAACTCCTCTATGAAAAGAAAAAATTCCATCATGAAACAGCCTGTAACACACACTACAAAAGCAAAGAACAAAGTTAGAATGCTAGAAATACACTGAATCCAAAATAACTGGCCATTAAAATTTTTCCAGTTAATAGATCATCTTCACTTGATAAAAACTGATTATTTTCCCCAGTTTTTTCCCCCCTATAACCCTGTTATTAGCCAGGTGAGCTCACATCTAAAAACAGTAAAGGGGCATCAGCACCGAAACATTCATTTTCTATTATGTAGAACATAATCTAAGACTGGTTTATCAAGCTCATACTATAGAACTTTCAGTCAGGACAAACACCAGCTGACCTACGTTATGGCCAATGAAGTAACAGATTGTTCTCAAGAAGCACAATCCTGAAAACTGTTCATGAATGAATCATACAAGGTTTTAGAGGGCAACACTGTATTTTGGTGACTATGCTCTTCTAGTAAAAACAAAAGTTCAGTTTAATATGAGGAAAATATTTCTTCTGCAGGTTGAGCTACAGAGTATTTTCACATAAATATTTCTATTAAGATCAAATGAAAACTGAGGCTTTATTATTAGGAATTGTTTAAATTACAGACAAAACAAAAATCCTTGCCCTAACGAGTTCATAATGTAGAAGAAATAAGCATGCTGTAAGAGACCGGAACTGCATGGTAATCAATTCAGATTACATATAAGCACTACATTTTACTTCAGATCATTTTCTACAGCATAAATCTCTATATTTCTGTTTTAACAGCTCTGTTTCCAAGTCCAGTCTTTCTCAAGAAATCAAAAAACTAATAGGCCACTCTTAAAATTCTAAGCGTACTTCCAGTTACCTACCTGAAGCATAGCCTGGACCACGTCTGCTATGTCCTCTGTTTCTGTAAGGTCGACTACCACGTCCAAGTCCTGGACCATCATCAGTCATGTACCCTTTTTCCTTATCTGTACGATTTGGTGGTGGCCTAGAAGTAGCTCCAATCTGTCGAAGCTGCTCATCTATTTGCAATCTTTCCAAACGCAGCTGGTCCACTTCCTACACAAGCACAGCAAGTCATATGTAACCACTATTTAATCATCTGAATGCATACACATGCAGTTCTCAAAGAAAGAGCGCTTAAGTATTGAACTAATAATCTATTTAATATTTAAATGGTAACTCAGCTTCTAGCATAATTTGTTTAACAAAAAAAAAATCAAATGTTCATATCTGATGTTTACCAATATCATTCTCAATGTGGCACAGCTGGAAGTCTAGGTTTATTTAAAACAGGCATATCAAGAAAAAGCACTCAGGACCAACTGTTTTGAGAATATACAGTTACCTACACTTCAGTATTAAATTTACGAGATCTTTACCCTTAAGGAAGTTAAACATTCTTTAAAGAGAGAAATTAATGTTCCTTTGTTTTTTAACACAGTAATATCCATTTACAGCATTACAACAATGACATAATTGAAACTTTTTAGTTTCCAACACACGCTTCTTACACTGTTTCACGTAACAAATATCCAAGTTATTCAACGATTATGACGTGATAGTATTGCCTCATAAAAAAGGCTGGAGGTTACACTGCTGTTTAATTCTACTTAATTATAATGAATAATACCAGAGTGAGAAAGCATAAAAGCACAGAGAGCAAAGTGCTGTAACTCAGGCATAGAAAGACAGCCAGCACACAGAATTCTTACCAAACACAACTACTAAGAGAGATGAACATAAAAGGGGAAACCACCTTTTTTTCAAAACAAACAAACAAACACACACCAACCCACCCCCAAAACCAAAAAACCCAGGGAGAAAACTATTTATGGATGTTTCAATACAATATTGGAAGGGACCTCTGGAGGTGACCTAGTCCAGACAGGACTTTGACTAGATTCCTCAGCACTCAGGGATGCATCCCCATCAGGTTATGCTAACTTATCCCTTACTTTTTTCCCAGATGTTCCCTAACTCAATCTTCCTTTGGGAAGGGTAAGTCTTCATTGCTCCAGACTCTCCTGTTGGTGTCAGGGGCCTGGCATTTCTTACCAAACTTAACAATAAAAAAACCAAAGTGAAGGACATTCAGTACCTCATCCTTCTCCTGTGTGACCAAGTTCCCTACCCCATTCAGCAGCAGGCCTGCTTTTTCTGTAGTATTCCTTTTGCTGCCAATATACATGCAGAAGCCCTTCTTGTTGCCCTTCACATCCCTTGGCCATATTCAAGTCCAAATGGACTTTGGCTTTCCTAAACTCTTCCCTGCACACTTTGTGTTTCTACATCCCTTCTGCATCATCTGTCCTTACTTCCACCCCTTGTACATCTTTTGTATTTGAATTTTGCCAGAAGCTCCTTCTTCATCCATTCAGGTCTCCCGTGACTTCTGCGTGACTGCCTGCATATCAAGATGGACTATTCTTGAGCTTGGAAAGGTGATTCTTTAAATATCAGCCAGCTCTCCTGAGCCTGTTTTCTTTCCAGGTATGTATCACAGAGGATTCTTCCAAGCAGATTCCTAAACAGGCCAAAGCCTACCCTCCTGAAGACTAGGGCTGAGATACTGGTCTTAGTCTTCCTCCTTCCTCTCAGGATCCTGAAAGTTCACTACATAACAGTCACCAGCCACGTCTGCTTTCTTCTTCCATAGAGAAATTCACTACTTTAAGTTAATATAATACATTTGATGTTGATTGCTACTGCCTATCTGTTACAAAAAGTTTCCTTAATAAACTTTTCCTGGAGGAATAGAAACACAGAAAATCTTAAAGGAACAAGTTGGTTCCTCTTCTTGACTGTGAACTGGTGGACATTATTCTGCAACTGAACCAGAAGGCAACAGGCCACTAAGATGATAACACTGTGTATGTCTCTGTGTTAAATGGGATAAGAAGGCCAAGATCAAAACCAAGACAACAAGAATCTGTACTCTAGTTGTTATACAGACTGTTGTATGTGCCCTTCTGTTCAGGAAGGTTAGGACAGCAATAAAAGAAAGTGAGCCTGACTGGCAATGAACTGAAGAATAAAGAAAACTTGCTGGGCTATTAAGCACTTTCCACTCACATGCAAGTACTCATTTAAGGCAACCAAAGATATTAAACCAGAAGTATCTTCTGAAATAATAGTGAGCATGTAAAAAAGCTTGATTTTCAGTATTAATTTTCATGTGGTCCTTCTCTGTCTCTACTACCTGATATCTGCATAGCTGCTGTGTCTCTGTTCCAAAACACTGATGAATCCAAGTGCTCCACAAGCAGGATTAGAAGGTCATTGCATTATTGAGTAAGTAAGTGAGAGAACAGATATCTGTACTGAGAAGTTTCTTTTATCTATGCACATTAGTTTTAGCCTTTTCAGATTCAATGATGGCTACTGCACAGACTGGACATGTACCAAATTATGGCTACTGCACAGACTGGACATGTACCAAATTATGAATGATCTGTAGGCTTTGAAACAGATGCAAGATTATATTTAATTAAATGAACTAAAAGCAGTCCCTACTGTTAGCATCTGTGTCCTTGCCATCCAAGATTGAGCACCTGGCCACAATAACCATAAGCAAAAGTAACTATAAGCAATAATGTAGGATATCTTTTGCTCCCTATACAAAAGGTAGTAAGCACTGCAGACTACTGTAGAAGTTATGGAGCCAAGAGGCAACACAACATATAAAGCTGAATTGCCTTCAAAACATACTCAAGCATGAAATGTCAATTAATTACAGGAAAAAAAAAATGTTTAGGGTTTTAGAATACAATGCCTACTGTACAGAAGGTCTTTGCATAGAATGTTGCACGAGGGACTGACTATTCCTTGTGTATAAAGTTGTCAGCACTTCTGAGACAGATTTGGGTTATATTTTTTCTTATTCCTTTTCATTTTGCATTCTGAAAACAATGTTTTTACCCCATCCTTCAGAGAAATGATTCTTTTAATAAAACATGGCTTTTACAACAAGCCTTATTAGACTGAAAACCTATTACAACACCAATTTTTCAACACTCTTCTCTTTGGGGTCTGAGCAGATTTTGATTATTATCTTAATTTTATCATCTTAAATATTGATAGAAAAATTTCAGTGGTAAAGCAGCATCATTTTCCTCACCTTTAAATAATTAAGATGATAATCCAGAAGAACAGTTGCATTAGTGATGCTATCCTTGGTTCCCACAAACACAAATGGTACCATTCCCTAGAACACAGAACAGTAGTTCTATGGTTATTGATTAGGCATCAAATAATGAAGAGAACAAAACACATTACTGTAAAACTTCAAAACAATTTTTGCAACACGGATTAAGCATAAACTAAGAAATAAATGAGACAATAGTACATGTAAATGTAAATTTTGATGCTGACTAGATCATGCACATTAATTCCCTTTACGCAAAGAGCTTCATTCAGTAGGAAAATTTAGATTGGATGCATTGCAATGCCAACATTTGTTTTTCTGAACAAGTAAAAGGAGTCTATTAAAATAATTTTGTGTTTCTTGCCTTTAAATTAATGCCACCTTTGCTGATTGTGTCTACTCTCTCCTACCAGGTTCTTTTAGGCTACATATTAATAAAGAAACCTTTGATCTTTTAAAAAAGTATATCAAATTAACACTGTCATAAACCAAAATTTGATCCCTCTTCAGGATCTCTCAATTTTTAAAAGACAAAGAAAGATATTCAAGAAAGAGTCAACACTTCAGGTGTTATTCTGTCATACAATTATGCGCGTTATGAAATTGCACCTGCCATTTATAGGCAGTGTTCTAACATCTCAGTCATAAGAAAAAGAAACCAATGCAGTATTAAAATTTAAATCTGAACTACTACTCTTTACGAAAGGAAGTGCTATAATATCAAAAAATATATTTCAAGTATGAAATACAGATAAACTCACAAGAACTAACTCTTACCTGCCAAGATTTGATCTCAGGTTTGTGTGTTGCTCCTGGTATGACACTACTAACACATGGGGCAGCATATGCAGTGCCAGTGTTAGAAATGTCATTAACAGGTAAAACAGAAATATGAATGCAAAGCTTGGCAGGTAACAAAAAAGCTTTCAAGTTAATCTTCAATAGCTGCATTTTGGATTGAAGAGCATCAACAAATAAGCTCTTTCAAGCCAAAAAAAACCCCCAAAACTGACATACTAACTGCAGCAATCATTACTTGCTCTTCTACCCATTCTCTGTAGGCTCACATATTAAAGACATTGCTGCAGGCTGAAACTTTCAGAAAAAGCATCCTCTTGCTTATTAAGCGAGTTCAAGGATTTTATGCTGCAATAATTTATTATTGGAAACGTAATACGATGTAGTAGTGAATCCTTTAAATCTAAACTGACTTTTTTTCCTTTTCAGACAGATGTGAAACTAGTAAAGTAGCAAAATCCCCTTTTTTCATTGCTTAGTCACCATTTACAGAAAGATGGAAATTAGACTGTAGGTCTTCAGTAATGGTTTTACAGCGGTAATACAAAAGATGAAATAACTACTTAAGCAAGAACGTAAGGGTTCCAGAAAGGATTTCAAAGTAGCAAAGGTTCCTTACCTGGAAATCTAAATGTGTACCAGGTAAATTAAAGAAAGCTCAGTTTTCTTTAAGCACATTGCACATGTGAAATTGCAAAGTATCTTTTTGTATTGAGATGTTAAAAGCTGCATGCCTGAAGCATTCCTTACAAAGGTGCAACCTTTCCCCTCAACACAGCCCCACATGAAAGTGCCTCAGATTACAAAGGTCAAGACTTCATTAAGGCCCTTGACAAGGCTGATTGCCTTCCTGTACAAACCTGGAGTTTCACATTGTTCATGCTTGTTTTTTCTTTAGGTTACAATTTACAGGCTACATGAATTTAGGTAATATTTAAAAAGAGAGCTATATACATAAAGCACAAGTTTTCATTACAATATAAGAAATTACTAATACAACTCTAAAGAGTTTTACATATACTGATTTACAATGCAGCTGGTGCTGGAAGACAGTGTCACTGCTTCTAACAGGAATGAAATGAAGTCTCTAAGAAGGTGCATCACCGAAAAATTTCACAAAGCATTTTTCAAACACAGATAACATGCCAAATTTATACAAAAATGCCCGTCAGCATTAAGAGGAAAATAGAGATTGATTCCATCAGAAAAAACACACATTAATCAAAACTTTATCTTGTCACTATGAAGATACAAGGAAGAATTTATTTTATCACTAGGTAGATTATAACTGCCATTTAACACACACAGAAATCACATTTACTGAAAACATACCTCCTCTTGTGGAATATTTTTATCATTTTCAGCCTCAATTCTCACTCTTACAACACCAGATTTGTCCACTATCTCCTGAATCAGCTTTCCATTTTTTCCTATTACTTTTCCTATGGAAAAAACATACAGAACATTCCACCTTTAGTGTTTTCCCCCAAAACTCACGAGGATTACTATACTAATTAAACAAAAGCATTTAGTACCAGTGTAAGAACTTGTCAAAAATGACTTAATACTCCACAACAAAGGTTTAGTTAATGAGCCATGAAATAAAATGCCTAAGTAAGCTTGGGGTGTTAACTTTGGTAGCGTTCCAAAGCAACCACTGCAGCATACAGAAGAGAGCTATTTTATTATGAAAGTTTGTTACTGAGCAGTTTCCTTCGTTTTCAAAGCTCCTATAAGAAAACAAAGGAAATTCAATCACAAATGCCTTACCTTTTAATAAAACTATTTGAAATTACACATCACATCTTGATTACAGAAATATTCAGTATCTTACATGCTTATTTAGCTTTGCATTGGTAGGTTTAAAATAACTTCAGTGGTTTACGAATGCACATTGCTAGCTGCATTTAAAAAAAAAAACCAAAACCCTCTTTTACAATCCCCTAACATCTGCTGTAGCTACCTTTTGGGTAGAGAACCAAGCTAAACCCTTAGTATCAGAAAACTTCACTAACTAAAATTTTTATGAAGAAACTATCAAAGATACTGTTTGAAACAGATAAAATTCTCTTCTTTGGAACAGACTTTTTTTCCAGAGATACCTGAAAGTAATTTATAATTCATTAAAAAGTCAAAGATGAAAATGGAAATAAATTATACTCTAAAGCCAGTAATGCATACATTTATCTTAGAAACAAGATATTATAATTTGTGACAATGTAAAACTGGTTCTCTCCAACCTCAGGAAAATGACTTGCTGTCTGAAAACTGACAGGAAAACCGAGCTACTTGGGAGGTAATGAGAAAAGGCCGTATCCTTCAATTAAAGGATTAAAGAAAAGCTTAAGAGTGATGTAAAAGATGTTCTCCGCGTGTAACAAATAAAGATTTTTTTAAATAACTGCTGGAAAACTTGCGACATCATTTTTTTCCCCAGGAACATTGCTGAAATAAAGGCAAAAAAATACTGAGTGCATGACACCTATTGCTGTGCTCATACAATTGATCCATGAATAGCTAATTAAAAGCCACTTTTAATCACCTGGGACATTGCTCATATACAAAAAGAAATGAATTTCTGTGTTTCAGTTTTTCTACCATGAATTTTTAAATCTACATATTTGTAGAAAACTTGACAAAAGATGGCCAATAAGTTCTTCCTTGATAGCAAATGCTGCTCTGACTCCCACAAAAGCTTATTCTCAGTACTCCCATTATAAATCACTGGCAAATATAACAGCAGCTTTCTATTAAATGTAAAAATGAGCTCGGCAATGATATAAGTCAAGCAAACCAACCCAAAAAAAAAAAAGGCAAGAACCATACATTGGTTGTCTCAATGAAACAATTTTTTTTTTTTTAAATACTTGATTTCAGTCAGAATTTAGCAACATGCACAAAAATCTTAAAAAAATAATCAAGGGCCGTATGCGTATATTTTTAACCTATGTTTAAGGTTATAAATACAGCCTTTAAAAAAGGCCACATCCTGGGTTTTTTTTGGTTGTTGCTTTTTGTTTGGTTTTTAAAGGATAAATAAGCAGAAAAAGTCTGAAGTTAGCATTTTCTCTAGATAAAAAAAAAAAATAATCAGCATACCACTAATGTAGTAAATGGAAAAAACCCTTCTGCCTTTTAAAAGCAAAGTATTTAAAATTTGTAATAATTAGCCAGGAAACTGAATAAGTAAGTTATCAAACATAGCTTATTTTGGATAGAACATATGGTTCAGCCGATTTTATATTCTAAAGGATCCAGGACAAGAAGCAGAGTAGAAATAAAAACTACCAAAACAGAAATAATTGCAAAGTTCTAAACAGAAAAGAGAAACAAAGACATTGGAAGTTTGTGCTGGATTCAGCCAGG